CACACACACACACACACACACACACACACACACACACACACACACACTTTTCTCCAGTAAAGATAATTAGGCCTTTGGAGATTAATAGCTAAATATCCACTACTGGTCACATTTGTTTAGGTCTAGAAATGGGTGGGCTCTCTTTAGGACAATTTGGACATTTTATTTTAGCACTTCTTTTAATGTCATGTCAGATGTTTTCCAATCAAACCTTAGCGATGGTTTTGAAATGTGTGGTCAGTAAAATGTGGATCTTAATTCCCCCCCCCCCCCCCACCAAAATTTTTGTGTTTTTTTTGTTGATCCCCCCCCCCCCCCCCCCGCTTCATAAACTAAAATGTAATGGTTCCAAATGGTTAAATAAAGACCTTCAGTAGCTTTTAAGGAATTTCTCAGCTTTCATGCTGACAAATCTCCTTGTACAATATATGGCATGTGAATTTATTTCATTTACGCAAATTATTTTACATAAGAAGAGCCTCTTAAGAGATGGGCCATCTGTCTCTCTCTCTCTCTCTCTCTTCTTCCCCCCGCCCCCTTTTTTTTAAATTGAGGACATATTGGGTACATTTCAAATTAAGGTCCTATTTATAAATTCTTGGACATGCTTATATTCTTTTAATAGCTCATTATAAAGGATGTTATAAAATGCACTGGTAATAACCTCTTCACAGATGTTAAAACTAGCTATAAAAAGATATTTTATAACATGCAACTATTGGCAGGAAAAAAAGCCCACTATAAAATATTATATATGTTTGTTTAGTTATCTGCCCCCCATCACCATTAGTTTCTGAGCACCTCACAATCTTTGAATGTATTTCTCCATACAACCTCCCACCGTGAAGTAGGGCGGTGTTTTGCAGTTAGGGAATTGAGGCACAGAGAGGCTAAGTGACTTGCCAGAGTCTGTAGTGGAGCCGGGACTTGACCCATCTTCCAAGTCCTAGAGTAGCACCCTACCCACAAAAGCCTATCTTATTCAGCCTTTGCTCATGCTGGTAAGCTTTTGCTCATGTGAACAGTCCCATTGACTTCAGTGGAACTACTCATGTAAGTAAGTGCTCACCAACATGAATAATGGTTGCATAATCTGTTTCAATGTCATTGTAAATGGAAGCTTAATATAAGAATTAGATAAGTTCATGGAGGATAGGTCCATCAAAGGCTATTAGCCAAGATGGTAAAGGATACAAACCCATGCTCTGGTGTCCCTAAGCCTCTGACTGCCAAATGCTGGGAATGGGCAACAGGGGATGGATCACTTGATGATTGCCCTGTTCTGTTCATTCCCTCTGAAGCATCTGGCATTGGCCATGGTCAGAAGACAGGATACTGGGCTAGGTGGACCTTAGGTCTGACCCGGTATGGCCTTTCTTGTGTTCTTATTTAAGTATTTATTAACATGACAATAACATACATGGAAGTAAAAACCTTAAGTTCTGTGAAACAATATTTAAATTGCTGTCAATATGCATCTAAGAAAAAAGGTTGCTTGCAGAATTCTTGATTTAGTTAATTGATGGATGGAATACTTATTCTGTACAGAGAACAACAAATCACCTTGATTTTACTGGGTAGGCTAAAAAAGAATGAATTGTTGAACACCTTTTGTCTTGTACCATGTTGTTTAGGACAGTGAGGTGTCATTGGGGTCTGTAGTACTATTATAGAGCATGAGGAGACAGAGATTAAATGGACTTCTCATTTTCCATGTAACATGAGAGAGCTTTACGGTTTCCATATTAAGTTAGGTTTTGAAATTGGGTTAATGAATAAGGGCATAATCTTGCATTACTTATGCGTCTGAAAACCCCATTGAAAGGGTGCCCAGGGATGGCAGAATTGGGGTCCCTAAAGAGCCCTTCAGAGTTACTTGCATAAGTAAGGGTTTGCAGTATCAGGGTCCCTGTTATTATGGGGCCAATCCTGCAAATTGCAGAGTGCCACCTACTAGTATTGAACCCCCACAATGCTCATGGGCCAGTTATTGCGAAGCACATCTCCAGTGAAGTAAAGGGTCTGGCCCATAGAGGCCAGTTGCCGTTAAGCAGCTTGCTACCTTCCAGGATCAGGCTCGGAGCCTGTAACTGACCAATGAGAGTATCGTTACCTGCCCCTGGCTCTGGGGACTGGCTGCATGAGAAATCCAGACTTCCCCAGGAGAGATCTTCACTCGGAAGGTCAGGAGTGATTGTATTGTTTGTGCAATCTGTAAACAAGTAATTGTTCTGCTGCTGAAAGTATTGCCACACCCGCTGGGTGATGCAAGAACCAGCATTAAAATCTGCCCAGGGGAACATTACTTATATGGAACACAGGCACAAAACCCAGTTTCGGGACTAAAATCTTGGAATTTCTTTTAACCTAATCAGGTGAGATTTTTTTTCCCCTATTCTTTCTCTTATTGACATGAAGCAGCTAGTCTCAGCCCCATGATTGGATTGTGGCAATCCCTTCCCCACAAACAACCCCATTCTTTCAAGAAGTTTTGCATCCAGATAGCATGGGGAAGCCTTGAATTATGCTAGTGGCAGTGTCATCGGTCTTTCTCTATCTAGTGACTGCAAATTGGAATAACCCATACTTTGTTTTTCTTTAATCAGTAAAGTAAACACAGAGCAATAACATTTATATTTGCTTCTAGACAAACCTTCAGGATATTATAAAATAAAGATAGTAAATTTGAGTAGGAAACAGGTATGACCTAAAAACTAAGTAGTATTGTGTTGTATTGGTTTCTGAAAGGGCAATGTAAAAATATATCTGTCTAATTTGAAATGGACAAACATGTATTGGACACAAAACACGTCAGTCATTCTCTCTCGTATTTAAAAAAAAAATCCCTGAATTTCTTTTTAAATAAAACTTTGAGATAAGTTTATTTTTTCTTCACTTGTATTTATAGAAGAAATTATTAATAAAGACAATAGATCTTTGTCTTCAGATGCCACTCTACTAAAATCTTTTTTTGAATAGAGTTACTGCATTGTATGGATGCAGGCACATGCTAATACTCTCCATGCTGGTCAAACAAGGGAGAGGAAGAAAGTGATTAATTTGTAGCTTGTTATCCTGATATTACTTTAAGTCCAACGATTTCTCTGTTTTTTCTGACTGCAAACTGAACAGCAAAGGATAAGCATTGCAAACCATGGGCTTTCCTGCTCTGAGCATCAGCCACTGAAAGGCACCTGCTAACATGCTTTAATGACCCCAGAGATGCTATGCCCTCCAAAGGAAGGGTGTAATTTTGTATTTCTTAAAAGCAAATTCCTAATTGTTCCCATTGCGTAGCAAAATAAGAAAAGTGGTGGTAGAAAATAAGGAAAGGTCATTTTGATCACTCAGTAGGCAAAGAGCACATTATTATGGGCACTGACAAATTACACACAGTGTCACATTTCTGATAGTGGAAGGTCAAGTTGAGCCCGGGGTAGGAGAGAGAACAAATCTAAACAATAAAAGCAAAGGGACTTGAATTTTTATGAGATGAAATTTTCAGCTCATTATTTTATGGAACACATGTCAATAAAGCTATTAGAGTTTCTCTGCAGAACAATTTCTTGAAACTGCAGCTTCTGGAAAAACAGACAATTATCAGCACGAGATCTGGTGACGAGTCAGCGACTAGTCCCAATAGCAGACCCGGCGAATAATGTGATCCATTGTCAAAATGCAGCCATATGCGATCCTGCGGAACCTCTGTTCTTTAGATCCAGGGTGACGCTACCAATGTTGCAGTTAATTCAAACTGGGAATGTGCCAGGTTGTCATAATTGCAACTTGGTTTCAGTAAATGGGGGGTGCTTACTCCCCACCCATCTCCTACCATGCCCCACCCTGAAACTGAACTGGGGTGGGGGTGTGGATGTGTGATGCTGTCTCTGAACAGCCGGGATTTGGCCAGATGTGGAAATACTGTAGTTCTTATGGTATTTCTGTTTCAACTGGCCACCAAACGCACCAGGAAATTTTCCAAGAAAGCCTTTTTAATGAGATTTCCAGCCCAATTCTGCAGGCACCAGAGGTTTGAGTAATTCCTGAAATGCATCTGAACGTGTGGGGCTCCCATAGCCCGGGGAGAATTCCCCCTGTGCTGGGGAAGTCTTCTCTGCATCCTGCACTGGCCCCACCCACGTCGTAAGTGGGAGGAGCGGGCATGACAATGGGTGGGTGGGGAGGTGGCCCAGCAGAATGGAGCTTTGTTACACCTGCATATAAGTTACAGCTGCATGGAGCAGCTCTATCTTGCACTGGGGCCAGGTGGCTGAGGAACAGGGAGAGAACAAATGGCTTTCTGCAATGCTTAGGTGGGACGGCGAATCTGCCCCTTCGTGTTTACCTGATGGAATAAGAGACTGAAGTCAAAGGGCCTGATCCAAACCTTATTGGCAGGACAGGAAGCAGACAATGCTTCAGGTGATCATGGGATCATAATGCCATTCCTAGGTCCCAGTGGGGTGTGGAGCCATTCCCAATCCCTAGAACTTGCTTGGTGGCTGGGCAGCCTTATGGTTATAAGTCACTATGTATATGATCAAATACTGTATTCACCGCATTTATTATTTTTGAATGGAATGATCTCTGCATAGAGTTAATCCAATGATCTTTCAAAACTGCCTGGTGATGTTTTCTCTGTATACTTGAAAACAGTTTAACTAGCTCTCCAATACTTTGCTGCCTTTTGACACTCATTGCACTGTAGATGGCACTGTAAAGCAATGATTTTGTTGACAGAAATCTATTAAACATCACCATTCCAAACTCTAATTGCTGTCTAATCTGGTTTCCTCTGCAGGTCCCCAGAGTGAAGGAAAATTTCTGAAATGCAGAAATGCTTGTTTGTAGCTGCAAATGGGAATTTGGAATAACTGTGAAAATCGCACTGAAATAATTGTGTTTGACTGGAACAAAATTCTTGCAAAGTCCCCAAGGTAAGACAACTTTTTATCTTTAGAATTGGCAGTGAAGATTTGCCGTTCTGGTTAGCAGTAATGCCCATTTAAATCTGTCCGAGGGAACAGGCGAATGAATGTATGCAAATGTAACATTTTTGAGAAAGTTATCCCGCTGACATCACCTGCTGCTAAATGTGGTGAAATGCTCACCTCCTATTACACAGTGTCCATCTAACTTCAGTTTTTTTTCTTTTAAAAGAAAAAAATTGCTATCTTTACGCTAGTGAGTTGTAGACAACACCTGAGTCATTTTCTTCTTCATGCAAAGGTTGTAGTGCTTTAACTACACAGGTATAGTTAAATTGGTACAACACCCCCAGTGTCAATGCATTTATACCAGTCTAAAGGTGCTTTCTATTGGTACAGCTGTTTCTAAATGATAATTGGAATAAGCTATACTGGTATAAGGTGTCTTTTATACCAGTATAATTGCATCCATAGTACCAGTACAACTATATTAGGCTACGTCTTCACTACCCGCCGATCCGGCGGGTAGCAATCGGTTTATCGGGGATCGACTTACCGCGTCTCGTGAGGACGCGGTAAAATCGATCCCTGATCGCTCTGCCGTCGACTCCGGAAATCCACCTCGACAAGAGGCGGCAGCGGAGTCGGCGGCAGCGCGGCAGCGGTCGGCTTTCCCCCGTCCTCACCGCCAGGTAAGCCGACCTAAAATACGCAACTTCAGCTACGGTATTCACGTAGCTGAAGTTGCGTATCTTAGGTCGGAACCCCGCTGTAGTGTAGACCTAGCCTTAGTAAAAAACCAACTCCCTAAAGAAAATAGTTATATTGGTACAAAAACTATGTGTAGGCCAGGCCTTAGTGAATGAGTTTGTCTAATATTGGTCGAGAGGGCCGTGAACTGAAATCCTGGATTCACTCCTCTGACCTTTGCAGGGGGTTCCATATTCACACCTACAGCCCAGGCTCCTCTCTCTAGATCAGTACATTTAAGAACTGTTGCCTTTTTTAGAGGGTAATTGCATGGCACCATGGGAAGCAAACTGCTCCTCCCTGCACTGCCGAAAACGTGGCAGGTTGCTGGGGCCAGATTTTCAGCAGAGTCCAGCACTCCTAATTGGAGCCAGATTTTTAAAAGAGCTCAACTTCCATTTAAGCACCTAAATAAGGGCTAGGTTTTCAAAAGTGCTCATCACCCATCAGCTTCTATTGAGAACAATGGAGAATCGGCCTCCTCCCTCAGTGAGAACAATGGCAGCTGCCGGACCCAGAGCACTTTTGAACATTATTTAGCTGTCCAAATGAGGTATTAAAAATTTTCCAAAATCTGCCTCCTTGTGCCTGATTTTCAGATGTTGGAGGCTCCCCTTAACTTCGCCTGGAGTTGTGGGGGCCCAGCAGTTCTGAAAATCAGGCTCCAAATGTTTCAATTCTAAGGGTCTAACTCTGCTTTCAATTCCACTGCTGTGTATCTGAAGGAACACCACTGGCTTCAGGAGTGTTCCTTCAGATTTACACCAGGGAAACTGGGGTCTGAATTGGGTTCGCGGCAGATAGTTTGGTCTGTTTCCAACATTTATGCTCAGAACAATTGAGTGATGTTGATGCCAAGAATAACAGCATATATTCAAGCTGTATTTTTTTTGTGTGCATTACTAAACTCTGTGTTAATCATGGGCTCCAGATCGTGCATTCAGGGGCATGTGACGCAAGGGAAGTATTAAGGTGAAATTCTGCTCTCGGTTAGGCCGTGATTCCCCTTCGAAGACTATGGGGATAAATGAGAGAAGGATCTGGCCCATAGTCATCTTGGCAGAGGCAAGCGGATTCCAAAGCCTAGCTGGGTAGGTTGGTGGTTGAGGGTTTTTTTTTGTTTTGTTTTGTTTTTTCCTGATTGCCATAGACTTCAACCAGGATCAGGCCCTAGCCGAAACCATTGCTAATCTCCCTTACAACAGATTTAATGGAGTTGCTGGATTCGGACTGGTTTAAGTGAGAGGTGACTCAAGCCCAGACTGATCTGCTGAAATGGAGCTCCTCCAAGTTCACAGCTGGCCCAGTCCTGAATGAGTTCCACCTGTGGAGTAGTTCCAGTGCATGGCCCACTGTGAGCCTCCATTTTGCATGTCTGATCCTCCTTTACACCATTGTAGCAGTGTAAATGGGATTCAGACCCTTTGTGGTTTCCCCCTTTACAGTTTTGTTTGCACAGGGTAACCACACGCTGGCTTCTAGAGGCAGGTAGTTGCTTATGATAGGCAGACATCTCCTTTCCTTTCAAGAAGATTTTAAAATCTTGTCTGGCTGCTTTAAGTACCACATCATTTTCTTAAATCAATAGCCACCATTTACTTTTTAAATAGTCACCGTACAACAAAGACGCTGCAAGGACCCCTGAACATGCACCCATGTGGCTGTTTTCTTCACCAATGTATTTTTTTCCTCAATCATAAGATAATGGGTGTTGCTAAAATATATTTACAACAGGCTCTTAGCCTGATAGTTTGTGATATTACAAAGTGCTCCTGTGAGCTGTTTGGGCAGTACCAATATTGCCACTAATGAACAAGCGGAGAAGGAAAGCACTTTATAATGCAGGAAAGGAAAAAGAGGCAAGCCGTTCTAAATGAGAAAACATGAGATCTGGTTTTTGATGGTGTGCATGTCTTTTAAATGTTTAAAATCAAATGGAAATGCTTCCTGGAGCCGTTACGGTAGAGGTGAGCATTTTGTGAGGTCTCCTCTTTATATTTTTTTGTAAACGTTCAGAATGTTCACCCACTTGCACGATCTGATTAGCCTAACCGTTTGAGGTACTTTGTAATCAAACAAGCAAGCGCCCTTGCAATTGCATCAGGAAAGCTGAACTGAAATCTGCCAAAAAAAAAAAAGTACACCTCTACCCCGATATAACATGACTTCGGATATAACGCGGTAAAGCAGGGCTGCGGGGGGGGGGTGCTGCGCACTCCGGCGGATCAAAGCAAGTTTGATATAACGCGGTTTCACCTATAACACAGTAAGATTTTTTGGCTCCCGAGGACAGCGTTCTATCGGGGTAGAGGTGTACCATATAGTTTTGTTTTGTTCATTTTTTGAGAGTGGTGTTTTGGTATCAATAAGAATGCTCAAGGTAGACTTTTCCAAATCCCAGCATGCTGGTTAACTGCAGATCAGGAGTCGCAGCTATGAAAACAGCATTTAGTTCAATTTATGCACATCCATAAACTATTTTTAATTAGTTTGAGACATTCTCGCATACAGCATTTGCTGAAAAGATGGAATCGAAGGGTACAAGTGCAAAGCGCACTCTTGGGTACTTTGTATAAATAATACATCATCATAATTCAATTTAAGAAAATGATCACATTACCTTTCCACATGATGAATGCTACTGTGGAAGCCATGGCAGAGCAATGAAAGCCGGGAAGACCTGAGCTCTAACGCTGCCTTCCACTGGGCCTGATTCTGCCACCCTTACATGGTAATGTTTCTTACTCCTCGAATAGTCCCATTGATTTCCATGGAATGAGCTGTGGAATGACTTGCTACTCAGCATGAATGAGAATACGGGAATCTGCCCTTTATATTGCAGCAGTGCTGAGAGGAGCAGTTCCCCCAACACCTTGATGTGGTAGGCAATGCTCGCAAAGCAGATTGCAGCCAGATTTCCACCCGGGCTCAGCCCCCAGCAGCCCCCATTATTCTCAGTGGGAGCTGTTGTATGTTGAGCCATTGTAAAAACCCAGCGACTTCACTTAGGTGCCTAAATAGGAGCTGAGCTTTGTTTTGAAAATCTGTCCTGAAAATTAGTAGAGGGATTTTCCTGTTCTGTTTCTGAATCTGAGCTGGGTCCAGTTTAAGACCCTCACCTGCTCAAAGTGACATTCAGTCTGTCTATATTTAACTTGAATGTTGCTTTGAGTAGGTGAACGTGCAAGGTTCTTACTTTTAAACCTCAGATTCACAGACCCTAATGAAGTCACATAAGAACATGCATGGGTGTGTCAATCACCACTGCAGCGCTTCTAATTACGAAACACGCTTGGCAAGGAATTGATCCCAACCCAAGTGTGAATTTGATTTTTGTTAGAATTACCTGGTAATAAACCATTTCAGTCACTCGTCAGCGTCTTTTCAGCTTTCCTCTTCCCAGCAGCATTTTTACACTGTTCCTAGTTATATTGTTCTTTCACTTAGCTGCTTTCTTTTCTGCCTACAGGATGAGATTCTGTGCCAAATCAATGCTTCTATCTCACTGGCTCTTTCTGGTCTATGTGTTAATGGTGTGCTGTAAATTGTTGTCCGCCTCTAGCCACCATCCCCGAGGGCACACAGGTAGGAGCTTTTAAACTCATTACATGCCACTGAGACCAATTAATAACACTTGCAGAATGTTAGAGTCCACTTTTTAGCCATGGATAATTGATGAAGCTGTTGACAATGTGTTATAATCAGTGCGAAAGGTTAAAATAACAGCAAAAAAGAGTTGTTGTAATTTTATGTAGTGCCGTTCACAAGGCAGTTTTGGAGCAACTTCACAGCGGCTAAGATTTTTGGGACTTGTTCTTATCATTTTCCTTTTCTTTTTTAAATCTTAAAGAGTTATTCATATTGTTTCTGTTCTGAAGTATAGCTTTAACTTCCTCCTGTTAATGTAGGCCCTTATCAATGGAAAGATTCCCATTGGATCAGGCCCGTAGTGCTACCTGAGTCAGTCCTTCCATTAAATTACCCATACCCTTCTTGTTAAATGAATCCTTACTGGATATTATCCATTTCCCTAGCATGGATATTGAGGCAAACAGTGAAAAGGTATGATTGAATCCGAAGAGGAAGTTGTTTTCTTGCAATGTCAGATGGTAGCACTCTTCTCTCTCTAGATGAGAACCTCAAGTCTGATGCCCAAACTTGGGCTCATTCCCAGTGCTAACTCTAGGGTGACCAGACAGCAAGTGTGAAAATCAGGACAGAGAGTGGGGGGTAATAGGAGCCTATATAAGAAAAAGCCCCAAATATTGGGACTGTCCCTATAAAATCGGGACATCTGGTCACCCTAACTAACTCTGCTGTTCCGTACCAGAAAGCGGAGCTTCATTTGTTAGAGGTTCCATCTTTCAGGTGAAACAACACGTTGATGTTCTTCCTAGCCTCCTCCCGTGACTTGTCCAGGTGGAAGCTAAAGGATCCCTGTGGTCTTGCCAAAACCCCTTCTCTATTTAAAAAAAAGTTCCAGCAACCAGGGTCCTATATGAACTCCATACAGCTGCTGTATTTGTCTACATGCTCATGCTAATCAGCATTGTTGCATCTTGAAGAGTTGCAGAAAGCACTAACTTGGATTTGTACTATAAATAACTAACATTCAGCCGCCACCCAGTTATCACTTGGGGTTCTCCAACATTGTGAATCATCTTTATCAGGCTGCTATGTGTTACCTGGCACTGCTTTTGCAACTTGAAAACATTGAGCGCACTGATTGATTCATGAGCTATTGCAATTTAACCTTTCTGTTGCACAGAAAAGGTCTCGGGCTCACTTTGATGCCTTGAGTAGTAGGATTTATGGGAAATTAAACAGCAAAGAAACAGTAAACATTAGTTATTTTAGGACAGATATTTGCTGGGGAAAACTGACATAGCTCCAGTCACGTCAGTAGGAATGAACTGATTTATACTAGCTGAGGCTGTGGCCTAATATGTATAGTTTGATGTAAATCTGATCTGAAACGGAAGTGATAGCTTGGTAGTACATGTGCTGGAAGAGCTTGGTTGCTGCTGCTTGCACCAACTGATAGATGACATTCTAATTAGGTAAGATACACTGTAAAACGTTCTGCACATGGCTAAAAAGTTTCAGCACTACTCCAGTCAATTGTACACCAGAGGATGATCTAGTGCTACCCTTGTCTCCCAGATAGCCCTTTTCCTCCTCTGACTCGAGTCACCCATTACAGGGGAAAGATTGGTTACAGACAATTGCACGTTGACCGAGGGAGGATTGGATGCAGACAATTGAGTGTGGCCTTTCCTGAAAACGGTCATTTCTGAGCAGCGGGTTCCTGATCCGACACCACAGTTGAATTTTCTTTCTTGAATGCAACAAAATTAGCAGTCGGAAAACACGCTTCTATAGATGTTGTCATTCAACCAAGAATTCAATCACAGCCTTGTAAAAATTAGTTTTTTTTCATGCCTTTTAAACTGCACTTTACATACAATCCCAAGGGAAATACCTGTGACAGGAAGAGAACATCTATTATGTGTATGCATGATGGGTGTTTATGAAACAGTACAAATGATGGTATTCTTTTCACTTTACATGTCAGAATACTTAATTGCATATTTTGAGTTGACAAAAAAATTTTCTCTCCGTATCAAGCAGCTATTGTAGAGTATAAACAACCTACTTGAAAATTACATAAATCTGCTTTAGTGGATCACTCTTGGGTAGGTCCAAGATGCATACAACTAAGAGACTCTTAAACTTTTGCTTCTTATGATAAATTAGGCCAAAATCTGTGGTGCGTACTCAGGCAGAGCTCCCTTTCAACTGGAATTTGACCTTTGTTTTATATAAAGCTGTATATTTAAGCGATTAAACTTATCTCTTAGTACAGAATTAATGACCCAATTCTTGGGTGGAGATCTAGGAAAACATCTGCTGTCAATAGGTTGCTTTCAAAGTGGCTGGGAGAAAGTGTTAACCCTGGAGGCACTCAAAGGGCATAAGAACAAATTCAAGCTTTCATCTCAATGCAGAAATCTTCCTTCCTCCCTTAGTCAAACAGCTGCAGTGTGTCGTTGACATGGGGAGATAAGAAATATGTCTCACTAGAGTGACATTACAATGGAAATCTGAGCCAAAGTTAAAACGGCACTGTTTTGCTTACTAACTGAACTCCGTCAGTGTTCTGTGTTCAAGTTCACTGTATACCAGGAATGATCGACGATAAGAGACTCACAGATTAGACCTTCCTTCCCGACATTCTGCTCCCAAAGAGCTGTTCTTTAGTTTCAGCAACTTCTGAGGAGTTTGTACCTTCTCCCTCCAGCCCCAAAACAGCACCAGTGTTTTTTAAAAGTGATAGTGTAAGAGGAACCTTTTGCCAGTAGGTAGTAATGTTCACAGTATCCCTTTAACAATACACCTCTACCCCGATATAACACAAATTCGATTGTAACGCGGTAAAGCAGTGCTCCGGGGGGGCGGGGCTGTGGGCTCCGGCGGATCAAAGCAAGTTCGATATAACACGGTTTCACCTATAACACGGTAGGATTTTTTGGCTCCCGAGGACAGCGTTCTATCGAGGTAGAGGTGTAATTTCACTTTAACAGGAGTGGACAGAGCTTGGTCTTGGTAGCCTCCAGAAGGAGAGGTTGCACACGTTCTGAGAAATGCTTATACCCACTGAACGGGTAGCAATACAGCGTGTTCATCGTATCCCCTAGGGCCTAGCTTTTCAAAAGAGACTAGTGGTTTTGGGTGCCCAGTTTGAAACACCTTAAAAGGGCCTGAGCATCCACCCCTGAAAATCAGGCCCCTTAAGGTGTCTCAAGTCCCCAAAGCATTGATCACTTGTGAAAACGTAGATCCAAATACCAGTATTACTGAGGAAGTTGATTAACCCCTAATGCCAGGGGCTGGTAGGATTCAAGCTGGAAAACCCTGATAGTTTTTTTTCTCTTTTAAGACCCTGATGCAAGGAAAGACTCCCATTGACCTCACTGGTGTTGGCCTGGGCCATAAAGAGTACGAAGTTCGACAGCTGTCTCTCCAATACACAGCGTGCAGGAGTGACTCTGTCCGTAAGAAGCCAGCAATCAGCAGAATGCTGTCAAAGTGGAGGTGCCCTGAAACATCTTGTCTGAGAAAAAGGATCTAGGCTCTACAGTAATATAAAGAATAGAAAAGTCAAGGCTTAATCTTTGCACCCTCCTTCTGTACGGCCCCACTGCTCAGTCTCCCTTTGTTTTGCAAAACATCCTTCACTACTGGAAGGTGGCAACACAGAACAGACCGTCAAGATACAATGCATTAAAACTAGAGATCTGAGATCCTGATCTTGAGCCCAACGTAGAGGTTTGGGCTCATTTGTAATTTAAAATAGTGTAAGCTGTTTGACGTACATTTCGAAAACATGCTTTAAAACAGTGGTAAATAAGCACTGAACAGGAAGAAATATCATTCCTATACTGTGCTGGAATGGGGTGGGGCCACTTTTAGTATAACAAAGGTATCGTTTCCGTCTTTGTTTAGCAGTCATAGATGACAAGTTAGAATGTGTGGAATAAATACTTTCTCAGGTCACAGACAACTTATAGGCAAGATTTGCAGGGCAATTATTTCTTTATTTTTATGGGTGTGCTGCCTCTGTCACAAGCCAACTGAGTAGCTTTGGCTTTCTTCACGCTATGCCTTATTCCTTTGCTACGATAGCTACCTGAAATGCTCCCAACCTGGGTCTGCTTGCAAGTGGTTGGATACTGTGACTAAATAATACTTGGCTTGTTCTTACCCAGCCAAATGCATGTATTTAATACCAATTTAGAATCTATTGGGTTGTGAATGCCAGAGAGAAGGGTTCATAGTTTGAGCCACTTGTTAGGAGCAGGGCTATCTGCCACTGCTGCTTCTGCAAAGCTGTTTTGTAATTTTGTTGCAATAATCAATTTGTAAGCACCTAGAGGATAATAGGGTTCTAAGGAATAGCCAACACGGATTTGTCAAGAAGAGGACCCAGTGGACCTAGACCATCTCTGAACTACATACTTTTTAGGTGGTTTCAGAGTAGCAGCCGGGTTAGTCTGTATCCGCAAAAAGAACAGGAGTACTTGTGGCACCTTAGAGACGAACAAATTTATTTGCGCTTAAGCTTGCGTGGGCTACAGCCCACTTCTTCGGATGCATAGAATGGAACATCTAGTAAGGAGAGATATATACGTACAGAGAACATGAAAAGGTGGAAGTAGCCATACCAACTCCAAGAGGCTAATTAATTAAGATGAGCGATTATCAGCAGGAGGGAAAAAAAACAAAAAACTTTTTTGTTGTGATAATCAAGATGGCCCATTTTCAGACACCTCATTCTAACTTGTCAGCTATGTCCATGTACCCGCCCCATAAAAGGGGGAAGGGCTGTGGTCCTGCTTCCATCTCTTTCTCCCCCTGCACACCTACTCCCACCCCCCAAAAATTGGATTTTTGGAATGACAGGTGACTGGATACTGGTTTGGTTACAGAACGTGAAGGAGGTTTTGTCTAGAGATGGATCAGGATCAGACCCACAGATCTGGGCAAGGGGGACGTGTGACTTTGAATCTGGATCCAAATTTTGC